TTCAGGAGATATTTGAAGATGTCAAAGCATCTGTTTTCCCCACTAATTTTGTGCACTTGTGTTGGATAGAGGCCATGACATGGAGGTGGGCTTCTGTCTCTGCAGCTGTGATAGTCTTCCACTGTTCCTGGAGATGGTCTGGAAAGGGAAGCAGACCAAGGGGAGCTGAACAGTAGAAATATTGCAGAGATTTGTTTCCCAGGACAGGTTTTCTATGACAGGTGATAAAGCAAGCTCATATCCTGTTCTTACATGTGAAGATTGTGGAAAGGTTGGTGATTGTATTAATGGTTTCATTAATTCTAAATTTCACTCTATCAGTTTAAGCAAATGCTTAGTCATCTCACTCACTGTCTAGAACATGCAATTTCTCCAGAAGACATCCAGCTTTACTAATTCAGGAAAAGGGAAATACTGGAAACAGAGTGAGAGTTGTTCAGGTCTTTATAAGCCTGCTCCTGTGTGGAGGCATCAGGCTACAGGTCACTCCTCTGAGCTGGCAATTCCCAGGTTTTTCTCCTGCTGGTTTATCATTGCCCAATTAGTCTGCTTTTATGGAAGATTTGTGCAAAGCATACTCAGTCCTTTGTTTTATAGATAGTTGTTATTACAAACTGAAATATCCTCAGGTAATCTTAGTAGAAGTATATTTTAAAAAACAATGAAACTTGAAAAAGTCAAAACTACAAATATTCATAGTTCCCTTAGCGATGGTCTTGAAAAAAAAAATTCAATTTATCTTTATATTACACTGTACATCCTTTGAATCAGACATCTCCATCACATGCAGACCACAGTATATTAGACAGCACACTGAATTCTGCATTAATGACTTTAAAATAGTCCTCACAACTCAGTATATTGCTTGAGCTGTGGGAACAGTTTTCTGTGAGGCTTACTGCCAAATCTTTCACTTTTGTTATTCTGGTATGAAACTGTGGCAATTTAGTACAAGCCTGTACTAAAAGCTCACATTTGATATACTCACAAAGTGCAAAAATCAATGCATGAGCAGACAGAGAAATACTAAAATGCCTGTAATCTGAAAGCAAGGCTACCTGCAATCCTATTTCATCAGTCTGCCTAAGTACCCAAAGTCAAGACGCTTATCTGATCCATCCAGACTTCTTGATGATTAAAATCTCACAAAAACAAAGGATTTCTGGGACTTTGTTGTTTCAGTCATTCAGAAAATACGAGACACACTTGTGCATCTTTCATATTTCATCTTCTGCTGTCTGCAGACAAATCAGAAAATGAGAACACTGAAGAACACCTTAAAAAAAAAAAAAAGTAACCTTTTAGAAAAATCCTTAACATTTTGGCTCATGTCTAATGACAAAAATGAGGTAATTCTGTTCTTGCTTTTGACACAGCTGATTGATCCCTGCTGGGAGTGCATGTTCACACTTGCTTGCTTGATTAAGTAACCATGAAAAGGATTCAGGGACCAAATTCCAGACAGGTGTAATTCTACTGAGATTGTGAGAATTTTTTACCCTAGAGATTTTTAGAGCTTTTCACAGTTCAAAATTAAGTGACCTTTCTGATTCCACTTTACAAATGTTTTGTAATGAAAACAGAATTGGTATGAAACTTCATTATTATAGCAAATCATTTCTTACTGTGACAACCCAGCTCCTTTCAGAATAAATGCAAAACATTGTCCAAACTGAATGACAAAAATGCCTATTCCTGAAGGGGCTTCAGCCCTGAAATTTTCAGCTGTAGGGTGTTTCCTGATCTGCCTACCTCCCAATAGGTCCTTCATTTGTCAATACAAGTGTTTTGTCAACCTGTCATTTTACCAAGAGATATTCAATCTTTCACATTCCAATTTACATATATACTGCAGTGTTTAAAGAAATATTTTTTCAAAATATGTGCACCACTGAATCATCAACTATAACAATGACCACACTCAAAATGTACTCCACTTGCAGGAGAATTACTGGTTCTGATTGCTGTCCGTGGCATAAGGATCTTTGAAATGTTTGCTCTCTCACAAAATGTCCTGGATTGCAGCAGCAGAGAGAAGCATGAGCACATGGTATGCTCCTCTGTTCTCCTCCTATCTCCCATCATGAGAACAAGTCCTTCTAACTAACTTCTTGCTACTTTTCATGGGCATCTCAGACTATGAAAAATTGCTAAAGGTGATCCACGATTCATTTAACAGATTGTTAGCTAGAACAGTCTCCTCAGTCTGAAACTCAGCTTCAGAGAAAAAAATTCCCAGATTTAATTTTCTCTTGTATTGACATTTGTGTGTCCCTGCATGGTTTTAAGGATAAAAACTTAAAAACAGCCTAATGATATTAAAATTGAAGAATAGCTTGTAAAAAAAAAAAAAAAAAGCTAGGCCTTAATCATATTACAATGAAAGAACAGGTGGTAAAAAATACGCTAAAACAGTAAGTCTTGTTCCTATTTTTACTTTTCAGAGAAAGGTTCAAGCCAGAACATTTACAAAAAATGACTCATCACATTGTGTCCTAAAATAAAGCAGCATGCACTTCATGCCTCCTGACAGAAGTGTGTCCTGCAAATTTCCCAGGCTAGATTTATAGACGTACCTTTAAGCCAAAGAAGCACTTGAGCTTCTATTTGCTGATCAAAACCAGGGCAGAGCTGTGTTTTCACTTCAGCCACCTCTAATCAGTGGAAGTTTAAAGGGCTTTTGAAAGACTGAACAAAGCACATGTGGCTAAGACGAAGCACTTGTGAGCTCCAGGGAGAGATCCAGCGCTGCCAGCCTGAGCCAATCTGTTCCTGCAGCCAGCCCAGGCACAGCCGCCAGCCAGGGCCGCTCAGTTCACTGGAAGCGCAGAGTCAGCTATGGCCAGTCAGGGAAGCGTGGTCCTTCTGTCTGAGGTACCTGCTAGGAAGGGCCTGTGCCGTGCCATGTTTAGTGCTCCAGATGGCAGTTTCCCATGGCATGGTGAGCTGCAAGCCCTTCACATCCATCCTGTCACCTATTGCTGGGTTATACATCTCCTGCAGTAATGTTTGCTTCAGCCAGGAAAAGCAACTTTCTAGACAATGCTGCAATATTAACAAAGAAAGCATGGATGAGTATTTCCTATGCTTAATTACATTCAAATATACTGTTACCAAGAATGTATTGCAGACACAGAAATTCTAGTGGTCAGACTTTCTAGAGCCTGTGTTGCTGCCCAGTTTAAATCTGTATCCTTCCTGCTCAGGTATATACATTTTTATTTACTGCTATACTTTTACCATTGGACCCCAGCCACTCTCAGTGCAGTGATTGTAATTAGATGTTCGGGGTTTTCTTCTGTACTTGTGGCTGACTATGTCTTCAGACCCGGCTCTAGAGATAAAAGGAAAAATTCTTGTATGGTCTTTTCTATGATGCAGATCAACTGGCAAATAAAATTTCAGACCAAATTATTAAAATCTGGTATAATAAAATAGTATTTGAAAATGCAGTGTCAAAATGTGAAACACCAGCACATAATAATAGAAAGCACTACCATTCCCATCTGTGCTAAAACTCTGACTTTGAAATCTATTCCAAGAGACCTCAGCTCTACCCAATCCAGTTTTGCAGGTCAGCAGGGGTAACAAAACAGCAGCAGTGTTAAGCATTGCTAGATTGTTAAAGACGAAGGATGACTCTGAATCAAACTGACAATTCATACTCATTTAGACATCTACCAACTAATTCCTAGAGCACCTGATGAGATAAAAATGTGTGTTTTCAAATGAGTTATGACTGGGAAAGTGGATGTAGAACAGAAGCAGTTGTTGCACCTTTAAGAAGAGTTAGGCAGCTGTACCCTTTGCTGTGAATGCCTGTGCAGTGCCATCAAAATACAAAATTGTCTGCTGTGAGTGTGGTGTGATGGAAGATGTTCTAAACATTGTCAGTAGTATGTTGAGATGTGTAAAATGCCAACTATGAAGAAAAAAATGCATGTTTCATGCCACAGTACATAAATAAATGGGGAGCTTTAGTGTCTGTTTGTGCCTATACAGATGAGGAAGTTAATCCCTCCGGTCCAGGAAGTCTGCAGTTTAAAAGTGAGCCTTCCAAAGTCTTGCTGTTAATAGTGCAGCTTAGACAGAGCACTTTGTTCTCCTGCCTTTTTGTCTGTGGTAATTCACCTCCAGAACAATATTATAGATCAGGCTCTCTGAATCAATAATATTTGCATGCATTTATGTGTATTTCATGCTAAGGAGAGTAACCCAGAGCTAATTAAGCTAAAACATCATTTGTACACTTGGCAGCTCTCTGTTAACTTTAAACAGTCCAGTGCATAAAAGCACGAGGATCAAAAGACCTGGAACTGAAATAGTAAGGACAGCTGATCTTTAATTGGAAAGACTGTAAAAGTCAAGTGCCTCATGAAAGCATTTGGGTTTATACAAAGCTAATGACAGATCTTGCTAATACCCAAAGACAGGCAATAAATTATCCACAATCAGATGATAGTTCTCAGATTTCTTTAACAATATCTGAACACCTCCCATGTATTTAAAAGACAAAAATATTCTTTTTCAGAACTGCAGGAAGAACAGCTTGATGGATATCTATTATTTATTTGATCACAAGTGAGAGTAAAGATCAGCCTCTATGCTAATCAGGTTTCCTAGTCTGGAACAAGATAATTTTTTACATCAGCTTGATTTATTTTATTTAAGATGCTCACACCAGGATACCAGATACCCACACCAAGCTGCAGCTTTATTTTATTTCCCTGTATAAAAAGTAGCAGAATCAACAGTGCTTTGAGCAAGGGCATCTCATTAATAAAGTAAAATGCATATACAATATATAGGTTCTAGATTTGGGGGAAGGGGATGTACATTGTGCCTGCATTTATACATGGTAACTTTCCTGTAAAGAGCCTCTCCTTATCACCTGAAAATATTTAGAACCTATTTCTATGTGAACTATTTAACCCTTCTGAACCTCATTTAAATTTTCTGTCATTCTGTAGACAACTCACAGCTTTATCTCTGTATTTCAGACCTGTCTCGTGCTGCTCAAAATTGGTCTGTCTTCCAAGCCTCATTGCTGTCTGACCACCAGCTTGAATTGAGCAGGGCTAAAACAGAGCTGTTAATCTTTTTCTCTGAGCTACCTCCCTACCATGTCCTTCAACACTGCAATCCTGCTTGCTCCTTAGGCCAGTAAGTGGAACATCATACTTGTCCTGTAATGTTTTCTGTTCCTCACAGTCACATTATACCTGAATCCTGCAAGGTTGGTTTGGGTATTTTTTAAAAAATCTTAGATCCTGCCCACAAAGCTGAAATGCTCATCCAGAAATGGTTCATCTCCCATCTTGATTACTGCAACATCCTTTTTACTGGCATTGCAAATGCATTTTGCTCTGTCCACATTCATTTAGAACATTGCTGCCAAGATCATTATATGAGCTTGTTGTTTTAACCATATCCTTGCAGGACAAATGCAGACAGTGGAGTTTAATCTGACCAACACAGAATTCCCTCATTTCTCATTTACACTAAATAAATGAAGGTACCGATTTTATTTGGCTCTACTTGACTTGCTTCCTTCTTCTAAAACACCCAGGACAGTTTGGGGTCTCTTCTTGCACCTCTTTCTGCTTTCTAGAGTCTGGCTTGTGGTGGCTGAGCTCTTTTACTCTTTAAAGGAGAAACCAATGTGCTTTTATATGTTCTACTTATACATGAGCAGCACTGTCAGAGGGATTTCACAGAGCTGCTTCCTCGTTCTGCTTGGATACGTAAATCGCCATCATCTGAACAAAAATAGATGTTGTTCATGTATGGTGCTGCCACTGATCAAACTGACAAATGTTACTTCCTGAGCTTCTCTGCTCTGCCTGAGAGCATCTTGGCTCTTCCCTTAAACACAGATTGTGTGCTCCCTGGGGCAAGGGCTGTGTCTGAGACATGATTAATGGCACAGAGCACCCACTGGTGTATACTGACTGTAACAAAAAAAATACATTATGTTGGTATATTTGTCCCTATTTGGTGTCTGTGACCTTCACTAGTGTTTTTAGAATAACACTTCAGGAAGTACACACAGGAAAAATGTATCCTTTTCTACATATATGCTTAGAGGAATGTGCTTACAATTCATGGATACAATGGCCATCAATAATAAGGTGCATATATGGACAGGTGGAGACAATATTTGGAAAGAGAAGAAAATCTATTTCTTTTAGTATGCATAAGAGTTCTCTAAATACCTTCATGATTTTCAGAATCAAATACAGCGACAGCAATTATTAAGAATCTCAAGAAAACATTTTTTCATTATGAAGAAGAGAGAAGAGAGACAGAAAACTTAGATCTCTTGCCAGCATTCGCTACAATCTTCAACTAATCGGATCTGGGGAAAAATCCAAAATTAATACTGTCAAACTGAGCAACAGATGTTGAAAGAGAATCAGACACTGCAAGAAAATTGATGTGCCAATGAAAATTAGACAGACAGGAAATTCTCACTAAATAAAACCCAGCAGGTTACAGGGGCTCAAAAAAAAAAGTAATTTTAGATCATCTAGCCAGTTCATCTTTGTGTAACCATATTATTAGTGTTTTTCTTTTTTTTTTTCACTTGTTATATACATATTTGTGTAATAAAAAGAAATGTGTATGCTGTTTTATATTTCTGCAAAACACCTTTTCTCTGCTCACTCAAGACAGATTGGCTTCATCTTACTTGCAAGACTTTCTAGGTTGTGTTCCAACTTGTCAGCCCTTACTTCTCTTCAGCAGCCATTGTTTGCCTTTGTATCTGGGTGCAGACAAAGAGGCTTCAGTTGATTATTTGCAAGAATATGAAATAAATTTACATTCATCAGAGTAATGGGTTTCCATTTCCAGAGGCTAAGCCAAGGAACAGCTGAATTTAGAAGCAGACTTGTTTGTAGGGTGGCTACAGCAGCATCCATCTGTAAGTGGTTTTGCAGAGCATAGGCACTTTTAGGGTATACACTTTGTTATCCCTACATTGCTCAGACAAGAGCCCAAATATTGGAAGGTTGTCTGCAGATTTGGAGATTCTTTTGCCAGCTACAGCTGCCAGGCCTCTCATTTAAGTCGGTAATACAGATGTGATTAGGTCAAATATTTTTGAGCCAAAAGCTCGACAAACATAATAATTTGAAAACCAAAAAAAAAGACTAATCCTCTGTGTCTTCTAAATCATCTCATGTTTTCTCTCAGATAGCAGCTGCTGCTTTAAGTTGCACACAGCATTATTATTTTTGTTTCCCTGGTTTGACTCATTTCTTTTGGAAAGAGATCTCTTAGTGGTTTTTTTTTTGTTTTGGTTTGTTTTTGTTTTTTTTTTTTTGGCAAGCAGAATTCTGGCCTGACTGTGGATTTTTCTCCCACTCTCGCTCACACACACATGCTTTCCTTCCTTTGCTGCTTTTCCAGCTCTGTAGCTGTTCCTCCCTCTGCTGTACTTGCAATAAGCATGGGGGGTTCATGCATTAGCATTAGGAGGTACCTACAGTCTGACTGTGTCCTGGTACCTATGTGCTGCCTCTGTTAACACTTCAACAAATAAAAGCATGTTAAGAGATTATTTTGTTGTCAGGAATGTGGAAACTAACTAAAAAAATAATAAAATTCACTGTTTTGTTGTCTGTGTGCATGCATGTGTGTGTTAGAACTGGAAAACTGGAACTGTGATGAACTGGAACATTTACTGGCTTTGGACTGGAGAAATAACTTTGCTGTGTGTAAGCCGAGCCCCTTACCCGATGGCAACACTTCAGCTGGCATGCATCAGGATAGGTAAGGAATATTGTGCAGACTATTGAGTTTCTGAGCTTTCCTGTCCCTGTTTAACTGATGGTTTTCTCTTGTTTTCTTGGGATCTCTGTGAGTATCTGTTCTGGTGATGCAGATTGTGGTATGCCTTGCCAGAGATGGAGACAGGAATCCACACAGAACTGGGTACAGTTTTCCCTTGGAGACAGAACAATGGAAGATCTCCATCGGTGAGACAGGAGTAGGGACGGTGCTGCTGCACCAGTAATCGCTTTTCAGGGCAAGGGAACAGGGTGCTTTTCCTATCTTAAATCCTTTACACAGGTATTGTGCCAACAACATCCTGCTGTCTCTATTATCTGATAATTATCTGCAAGTTTCCCTTCAATGCCAATCAATCCCATGGAGATTCAGCAATATGCTATTCTCTTCTTCCCAGGTCCATCACTTCATTCCATGGCATTCAGAGCAACACTTAGGGCAAGCTTAACATGAAAAGAAAGTAAAAACCACTAAAGAGCATTTAAATCCTGAGTTTGCAGTAAAGGACATCATGGGACTAAGGAACAAGTAAGAATCAAGTCCACTGGGGTCCCAGAAAATGTTCACCCGAGGTCTTCTCAGTTCTTGTCCATCCCTCTGACTCTGGATTGCAGCAAAAGCAAACATAGCAGGTTTTATTAAAAAGGTGATACAACTCAATGGATCTCATAAAAATAAAGCAAACAAAATATCCTAGGATTTGTAATCTGATTTTCATAAAATGTACTCCCTTTAAGTTCTACTAATGCCTAATGCTGGGAAATTTTAGGCTCAGATTTGTGTTTTCTATTTTGATGAGTCTGGAAAAGTAAGGGAAAGAGATGGATGTAAAAATGAAGAATCCCGGAACAGACGTAGGTACCCAAAAAGTAATGCAGACCAAAGTGGCTCATCCTGAAGACTCTTTCCTAGAAAATTGGACTCTGAAATTGCTGTAAGGCCTGGAGACTGGCAGGTTGAGTGGATGGTATTAATACTTTTTCTCTTCTCCGTTACAGGGTGTTTTCTTGAATTGATTATAACCTGGTGGAGCTGCTGGGTAAGTTAATGAATTCAGTGGGGTAGAGGGAGGCACAATTTTTATGTATCCAACTTCAGATATGAAAACAGATTTGATATTTGTTGTCTGAGATTCAGGCCACTGAATGCAGAACAGCGCTGACTGGAAAAGCATATATTTTTCTTCAAGTGTTGCTTTGTGTTAAGGATGTACTTAACTCTCTTCCCAAACTGGTACTTCTCAGGTTTTATTAGCACTCTTAGCACCCTAAATAAGATTGGAGTAAAGAAAGGAAGGAAAATTTCTTTGACAAATATGTCAGCTAAATGTCTTTCTTTTTCCCTGAAGAAGGTTGTAATGTGGTTTTTTATCTGATCTGCAGAGGAACTGAAGTGATACATGAGCACTTAGCAATAAACATTTTTAATGGAGACCCCTATCCCCAGCTTAATTTCTGCCCTCAGTCATATTCCATTAATCAATACTAGTGATGTTCCTAGTGGTTCCATTGCACCCTATGAACAATTTTGCTGCTTGTGCCTTGGGTGCATTTTGATACTCAGATTTAATAACAGGGGATCCAATATTGATTTTAATGGGAAATGGTTTGTGTATGAGTGTGCACATGTGTGTTTTTCTGTGCACCAGTTTCCCGTGCATGCAATAGTCCTGCTCCAGCCCAGGTTTCTGGCTGTTATAGTACTGAAAGATCTCAGAAATGGTACAAACCATGGCAATAGTGATTAGAGGAAAGTGATAAACTGCCTAATATGATCTTGCTTCCCAGCAAAAGATGTATAAGTTCCCCATATGTCACATTCAGAGTTACTCACACACAAGCAATTTCTACCAAGCATTCTTGGCAGCGTGAATATTCACAAAATTTAGTCTGCAACACTATCTGTCAAATGATAGTGCTACTTTTTGTTTGGTTGAGTTCAGGTCTTAAATCTGGACTTCTGAGGCCAATATCTGTAGTTACTTGCAATTCCTTTTTTGAGTCAAATGCACCCATGGGCAAATGGGGAAGAAGAAGTTTAAATGTGCAAATAAATCTGTGGGCTTAGAATGGGCTTTCTACTGGTAATATTTACAATTATTCGAAATTGTATAGTTAAATTTGGTTTCCAGTGAATCGTGCTATTTCACCAGCAGCCAGAAAGAGACATTTCAGGCCATTTTTAGGGGGTCAACATAAACCATTAGGACTACTGGGCTGTTCAGTCCTGGAAAACAGACTTTGCATGGTGTCTTGCTGAAAAGAACAAAGGGCTGTACATGGGTCCTAAGTTTTAATTGAGCTTCATCGAAACACAAGTAAAAAGTAATTTCACAAAAATTCTTGAAGCTATTTCAGCAGTGTACTTAGGCATGTATTTTAAGAGTTTTTCTCAGACCATGGTAAATGATCTGTGAAAAGGCACAGCCACAAAAATATTTATGAGTATGTGTACTTACTGTGGTTCCAGTGAGAATATGCATTTGACATTCACAGAAAATTCAGCCTGGATATTTCACAGGCTGATGAATTGTAGTATTTAAGGAAACTTTAGGGGTTCTTGGGTTTAGAGGAAGCCAAATTAAGGAAGAAAACTAAAATGGTTGGTCAACTTTAATTTTTAATGGTTCGTAAGTTTCCATACAATAAACACACCTCTTTTTTTTTTTTTTTCGAAAATGAGAGCAGTTTATTACTTGGTATGTGGGATCTGAAGGTTTCCACATGTTCTTAACGTAACTTTCCATTGAACAATGTAGTTTTACTGGGACACTTTCACTCAGTCCTACAAAGTCCTGCTCACCGAAACGTATCAGGTCAACACACCTTTTGAGTGGGTCAGGAAAATACCACTGCCTTTCTTTTCCCACATGATGGCATGAAAGTAGACAAGGACCTCTGTACTGAAGCTGGTGATCTTTCACAGGAATATGGCCTTAGACCCTCTGCTTTCTGTGTAGGTTAATAGCAACCTCTTCCTGCAGGTAACAGCCTTTTTATGGAAGGGCATTTTTTGTCATTAGTAACAAAACCAGACATTCAACAGCTGTATCTATATTAATTACTTCATACTGCTCCTATAAAAAGTACTTAAATTAAAATATAGCATGAATAACTGTTTGCTTTAATACCAATACCTTATATTTATTAAACATGTCTCCAGCTACCAAACCTTCCTGTGACTTTTCTCAGCCATAAGTTTTCAGCAAAAAGGACTATAGCCATAATTTATGTACCCTCATCATACAGATAAAGTGTTTGTGTTCAATTTAAAAACTATTTTAAAAATGCACAATGAGGGTGCATAAATTGTTGGAATTTACAGTATCACAGTACACATAAGATTGGTAAAGGGGCTATACTCAGTATTAATAAAATTAAAGGAAGTCTTATTAATCACAGAATCTCTAAAACTATGGATATAGAGTGCTGTCTTAAGCAGTATTTACTGATGCACTTTTGTATATAGACTGCAAAAATGAAATTAATCCATAGATTCTTGGATAGTACATAGCACAAACTGACTTTCATTGAATCAAATTTTGCCATTTGGCATGACACCTTTGGAGCAAGTCATATGCATCCTGAGGCTCCCAGGTAGCACTGTTTCTGTACTGTATTGTGGCAGCAGCAGGAGCTGCTACTGAGAGGGATCTGAGCATGCTTGTCCATGGTGGAGAAACCAGGGGTGCCACCCCGTCAGGACACAGCCAGCCTGTCCCTGTGGCCATAGGATGGGTACCCAGGGCACGCTGGTCATTGATCACACTGACACAAGTATTTTACTGTAAGCTGTAAAAGCAACTAAACACTTCTCCATGACTTCCTGTGAGTTGCAGAAGGTCTAATGTGTCATTCTGGCAAGTGAATTCAGACGTAGAGAAACATCTTCCAAAGTATAGACAATTAGGCACTACAGCTGGTTACCTGGGGATGCTGCGGGAATGAACCAACAGATGCTTTCAAGATCATGATGGACAAATGACTTTCAGGCACAGCATTTGAAGAGGTGGTCTTTAGATTTGGCCTAGGGACAAGATTAGATAATTCTCAAGAGACTTTTGTTGGTTCTGTTCAGTGAGTTCTGGCCCAAGAAAGACAAGCACTTAGTTTACGCTGAAAGTTCACTTCTCCTTCTTCATTCACAGCTCTGCTAAATCAACATCTGTCTAGTTGGACAGATGTGTATTTACATATACACAAAAGGGGCACAAAAGGATTTGGGGCCTCATGTTGTAACCACATCTCACAAAAGTTAAGAGGAGAGCAGGGTACTAATGAGACTGATCGTTAGGAGATAAGGCAAATTAGAGCTGCTGAGATTGAAACTCGAGTCGGCAGAGCAGATCCAGTCTGGTCTGCTGCCAGCAGTAAAACAGGCCCCAGTCGGGGTCAACGTTTGTCCCCAGACCCAGAGGCACATAGGAGCGGTGGCCCTGTCCGGGAGAGGACGGGATCACCGAGCATCCTTTCTCCCTCACGCCATCTGGGCGGGCAGCGCTCCGGGGCTGGAGCCGCACGCAGCTGCTGGCAGCACTGCTGGCTCCTTCCTTCACCCTGAGAGCATCTCTGCCGCCCCTCCCGGCCCTGCCGCCCCTCCCGGCCCTGCCGCGGCCTCAGCGAGCCCCTGGGCACCGGGGCACGCGAAGCACGGCTGGGAAGGGCTCCTGCTCCGCTTTGAGCCGCTGCTGCGCGGGGATCGGAGCGGCGAGGAGCCGCCCCATCCCGCCGGGTCAGCAGGCCCCGCTGCCGCCGCGCTGCCCCCGGACAGGGCTCCAGATCCGCTTCCCCGCGGTCAGAGCCGGGAAAAAGGCTGCACCATGAATTCTGAGGAGGTGGAATGGCCCCGGCAAGTGACACAGGCTCTGTGACAGGCTCGAACAACCCACAGAGCCCCCCTGTACCTGCCCATGATGTGGAGTTTGGTCCGTGCCCTCTGGCTCTGGGTTCGAAGGGTGCCTTTGCCCGGTGTGAAGGGCAGGCTGTGCCCGGTGTGAAGGACAGGCTGTGCCCGGTGTGAAGGACAGGCTGTGCCCGGTGTGAAGGACAGGCTGTGCCCGGTGTGAAGGGCAGGCTGTGCCCGGTGTGAAGGACAGGCTGTGCCCCATGTGAAGGACAGGCTGTGCCCGGTGTGAAGGACAGGCTGTGCCCGGTGTGAAGGACAGGCTGTGCCCGGTGTGAAGGACAGGCTGTGCCCGGTGTGAAGGACAGGCTGTGCCCGGTGTGAAGAACAGGCTGTGCCCGGTGTGAAGGGCAGGCTGTGCCCGGTGTGAAGGACAGGCTGTGCCCCGTGTGAAGGACAGGCTGTGCCCCGTGTGAAGGACAGGCTGTGCCCGGTGTGAAGAACAGGCTGTGCCCTGTTGGAAGGGCAGGCTGTGCCCGGTGTGAAGGACAGGCTGTGCCCGGTGTGAAGGACAGGCTGTGCCTGGTGTGAAGGACAGGCTGTGCCCGGTGTGGAGGACAGGCTGTGCCCGGTGTAAAGGACAGGCTGTGCCCCGTGTGAAGGACAGGCTGTGCCCGGTGTAAAGGACAGGCTGTGCCCCGTTGGAAGGACAGGCTGTGCCCCGTGTGAAGGACAGGCTGTGCCCAGTGTGAAGGACAGGCTGTGCCCGGTGTGAAGGACAGGCTGTGCCGGTGTGAAGGACAGGCTGTGCCCCGTGTGAAGGACAGGCTGTGCCCAGTGTGAAGGACAGGCTGTGCCCGGTGTGAAGGACAGGCTGTGCCCTGTGTGAAGGACAGGCTGTGCCCGGTGTGAAGGACAGGCTGTGCCCAGTGTGAAGGACAGGCTGTGCCCCGTGTGAAGGACAGGCTGTGCCCAGTGTGAAGGACAGGCTGTGCCGGTGTGAAGGACAGGCTGTGCCCTGTGTGAAGGACAGGCTTTGTCCCATTTGAGGACAGGCTTTGCCTGCCACACCACACTGGAGGTGGGAAGGGCACTGCCTGCAGCTCCAGGTAGTTCCTGGCAGCAGCCTTTTCTCCCTCTCTTTTGGAAGACTCTCAGAAACCCTTGGCCCCACCAGGGTAAACTGGTGACCCCCACAGTGTCAGGAAGGTGGTAAGCCTCCCATGAGGTGGGCAGGGATAAATTAAAACTGCTTGCCATAGTAGTGGGTCACTGGGGAGGAAGATTTGGGCCAAGGACAGTGTTAAAGCCCCGGATTTTGGGGGCAGAGTTTTGGTGAAACAGGAGCCACCTAAGCCTTCAGCAAAATAATTTTTTTGCTGCTGGTGGTCATCATTTTGCTTGCCATCATTGACAAAATACTTTGGAATATGATGTGTTTACAGCCTTTCTACCTGCACACTGAGCATCCTCAGCATTTCATAAGCTCCAACAACCTCTAAATATTTAGGTGCTTACACAAAGTATTTGACTTCTAGAAATGAGCTTCTGGTACTATTGGCACTGTGTACTGACGTGGAACAGGAAAACCTGCAAAGGTAAAATTCAAGTTATTAATCTACTGGTTATGTTTCTCACAATGAAGAGGAAGTATGAATTACAATTATTTTTTTACATCTCTACCCTTGGCAATTGCTGACGCATCTCTCGCAGTGAGGTCAATCTGGGATCTTACAGGGTTTCATGCAAATTAAATGACTGTAATTCTCAGAGTGTTGCTATTATCTAGAATCTATTCCTTGTGTCACATAACTTTTGATTTTCCTAGCAGGTCCTTCTGTTATTTAATGTGAACTATTTTTTCTCGCTGTAATTGGCAGTGATGACTGCCATGTATCTACTCTATATGTAGGTTTTATCTCCCCTCTCTTGTTTCTTGATGCCAGGGGGACTGACATGTTCCATGTGAGTTAATTTTTTTATAAAATCTCTTTTTCTTTTCAGTCCTACTCCATGCAATTTCTATGATTGTCATGCTTCCCCTGTAGGTTTCTTGGTAACAAAATCGAAGTAATCATTTTTCTTGATGAATAGTAAATTCACAGATAGTTGAATATTGAGATCAAATTCAGTTTTGGACAGAATTCAGAGAATATTTTAAACTGATTAGCATATGGAAAAGCTGAAATGTTTTAAAAGAAGTATTTGGGTATTTAAAAGTTGGGTTTTATTTGAAAAATGAGTGCAACTCGAGGTTTAAACAAAGCTTTTAATCACTGTAAAATATCAGGGCTAATGGAACACTTCATAAGGACTGCAAACAATTCTTCTGCCCACCCCAAAATGAGAGATCAGCTGGACTGGACACCATTCTGCAGGGGGAAGGTGCCATACATCACAGAAAACCAGAAAATCTGCAGTGCTTGTCGTTGCTGTTTGCCAGGTGGTGTGGCTGGGGGCAAGATCCCCCCTCACCCCATCTCCATGTCTGATAGACTCTATAAAATCTGCTAATACTGTGTTGCAAAAGATACCCAACTTCTTGTCAGTGCTTTTGAATGTTTGAAGGCATTTACACAGGAGCAAAATCAGGATAAAATGAAACTAAGCCTAAAATTAAATTGGTTGGTGTTTTAGTATTTTTCTCCAGGTAAAAATCCTTAGTGGTGTAATGTGGCTGCAACTCATTAGAGCCCAGCTACACAACTATTATGTTAAAGTCTATCGAAGTCAGTGGAGTGATGCAGCTATGCTCTGGCAGAGAATCTGCTCTGCTTTTTGCCATCATTTGCTCTGCTGAGCTGAGTAAATATGGCAATTTCTTGGATTGTCAGTAAGAAGGTCACTTTTACTCCTCAGTTCCTCTTCATCCACTCTAATTCAATCATTCAGTTCCAACTTTCAAACTTTTTCTCTTCAGATTTGACTCCATTGCCAGTGAAGGGGAAGAAAAGTTCACCCGTACATGTAAAACATACATATGCCTATGGCAAACAAAGGAGCTTCTGGTTTTGTTGCCAATAGCAAACAAGGCATGCTGCTGCCTTTGACTTCCTAGTTCAGGCACGTGTGCTCCATGTGCAGTCCAAAAAAGAGCTTCCTTCAGATCAAGACACAGCTTGCAGCCAAGACCAAACCTCATGTCTCTGCATGGAGAGCCACACTGTCTCTCCAAGGCTCCATCTATGAGATTCAGTTGCCTAAATATAGGATTGCAGTGGTGTTTTCTGAGCCTAGGTGGAGGTACTTGGCCTCCAGGTTCATCCCAGGCTGTGTGGATTTCCCCTGGGTCTTGTGCCATATCTGCTAGCTGCATCCAGATTATTTGGATACTCTAGGATATTTAAATAACATTTGGTTTGAGGGTCCTTTTGTCCTTGAATATTAAGTCTTATGGTTCTGCAGGTTTTGGTGCAATATCCCCTCAGCTGTCTGTAATAGTCCTGTGATTTTCACAAGTGCTTACAATCACTTGTGCCCCTGACTTCAAAGCCCATGTGCTCTGCAGCCATCCCACTGCCTTTTCACTCAGTCCCTTTGCATTCTGTACAGGGGTGGAGTCTGCACACAGCTGCAAGATGCTTGGCAATCTCCATCTGCCCAGCACAGAGGAGGAGCAGGTAGGTTAATCCCTTTCCTCCACTCCTTATTGAGCAATTAGGCCATTAAATAAGTTCTTCTCTACTGATACCTGAAGAGGTTGTGATTTACTGGATCTTGTAATAAATTTGCATTCATAAGGAGATAGCCAAAAGCAAGTCTGGAGTTTTAGCAGGCTAATTTGTAGCTTCACTCTTGGGATGGGAACAGAATTTTAAAAGTTCCCAATAATAAAGCAATTTGTTTAAAATCCGTAGTCCAAAAAAGAATGAATGCTTGCTTTAAAAAACTGCACCAAAAAAAAAAAAAAAAAAATCCTCACTATAGGGCCCATCCTTGATGTAATTGGAATCATTACCAGCATGGCTACAACTTACCCAGAGTGCCACTGTGGGGGCTGTGCCTTTTGATGGGGTAGAGACAAGGCAGCTGGAGTGGTCCACGGGCTGGAGCAATGCTGGTTTCTGTGCTGCTGCTCCTTTTTGGTATAAGAATTTTGCTTTTTACCGTGAAATGTTCTATGTTCGGGGCCAGACTGATTCCTTCTCATGTGGTATTCCATAAAGACCTGCTATACCAGATAGAAACTAACAAATGAGTTGTAACTGTCTTTGTACATTTTACAGGTCATAAATAGCAATATTCTGTCATTCATTTTTAAAGTTTCATCTTGTCAAGCAGTGTTCTCTAGAATTATCTTGCATCTCTTCTAACAAATGCTGACTACGTCTGCTGTGTTTTAATCCTGTGTGCTTTCAGTGAAGAACCTCAAATTGATCTGTTGACTAGAAAGTGGATTTAGTATCCGATTTGAAGTAGCTGCTTATTCAACTCTGGGACAAGAACAGTAATGACTGAAGGTTGTTATTGGTTGATTGTTGCTGAGTGGTTTAAGCGAAATGAGGTTTTGGAGGATCAGTCAATTTTCCTGTGGACTGCTTTCCATGTAGCACTTGGCACCTTTGCTGGCCCCTGCTAGAGCAGTGTTCAATATACCGTGGAAAATCACCCTCCTGGGTCAGCTGGGAGGAATATTGGCAAGATGGGGGTGGAGGGGGCGCTGCATTGTTGTTGTTTATATTTTATCTGTTGTTTCTATGCCTGAAGTCCTTTAGCAAAAACCTCAAAGCATCACTCGGAAAGACTACATTAACATAAGGTATTTACAGACTGAAGGAACTCTCCTTCCAGGGTTGTTTTAGAAGTGTTATCAATGGTGATATGTAAATAAGGAAACAACCAGAAGAACAAGTAGCCCAGCTGACTCCAGTTTAATTGGAAGTATTACTGAAAAATGGGGATGGAGCATAGTTACTGAAAGAAAAAGGACAAAATGGGTAAAAAAATAATGGTGATTGTAAGCAGCTGCAGCAATACAGGCTAAAGAAAATTGCTTTTATTTTTTTATTTTTTGTTTGGCTAGTTTATTGGTTTTATAATGAATTACACAGAGATACAAGAGAGAAAACAGCAGCAAAGGCCCGCAGTGAAATACTGTGGATATTTATAATGCTGTGGAAATGCACAAACACTCAAATACATTGTCCCATTCTGACTGCAGGTTCATGGCTATAACCTGGCTTATCTCCTCCCATCTCACACCAATGAATTTAAGTCTGCAGAGGATAAAAATGACTGTGCATTTTGCTCAAGCACATTTGCAATCCATCTTGTAAAATAAGAGAAAAACCCCTCTCAGCTATGGGAATACTCAACAGTCTCGTTAATTTTCAGAAGTCTCCAGTGGGAGACATCATTTTCTTTTATCTTCTCACAAATGGCCTATAGAATCATATGCATCTTGTGCTGGTTTGGTATTGAGTGTGCTATAGTTATATATTATTTAACATTTTGGCCAAGTTTTGGTTTCATGAACAATTTATCTTCTACTGTGCATTTCTGCCCTTATGATTAATGAAGGTTACCAGCCTATGATTGCAAAGCGCCCTAGGTTCTCTCTCCTACCTAATCCTCTTTAAGTGGATTTTGGTCTAATTTTTTCTGTTCCTTCCTTTGAGCTAATAATTCTCCTCACAGGTGCTGAATAATGTCTTCATGCTGCATATTGCTCTGCTAGTGTCCACAGGGAAGCTACAAAGCTCACTGATGCTGTCATGCCCTGTATTTATTGCCAGGAATTCTGGTAATGCAAAGTGTCTGGGGTCAAAGGGGCTATGGCTTTTAGTCTATATTTACAGAGATTCTACAGCTTTTCTGATTTATTGACTTTTGTGATCAGTTTAACAAATGAAGACATACTGAAACCATACAAGAAATAATATTTTCTTCAGTGTCATAGTGAACTTTTGCTATGTAGGGTGTTGTATAATAGCCTGTTATTCAGCTATTCCCCAGTTTCCACAGGAAAACATAATTAGTGTTTTAAGACTAACCTCCTTAGGCTCTTTCTTAATGGACTACGAAAAGTATACTTGCCTTACTTTCACAGCTCAGATATTTCAAAGGATTAGTCAGAACAAAATAGCATCTACAGTTGGTATTTTATAACCGGTGAAGAATGATCCTGATGTGAGACTCTGTTTTTCCAAGTGCAGATGTGGTTTTTAGCATTTTCTTGGTTGTAGTGTAGGTGGGTTTTTCTCTCCCTTTGATAGAGTTCTGCTGTTACCTCTGTCCCATATGTTTGCAGCTGCATAGGGGATTTCCACGAGATTCTTGTGTGAGTTTCTCCCAGAATGAAATATCAAACTGAGGCTAAACTGTAAAATTACTGTGTAAGCCAATTCAGCTGGGGCTTATTGGTTAAATGGTAGAAGAAAAACCTCCAGCTTATCTTTCTCTGGAGTAAGCTCTGCATCTCACTTAAAATGAATGGAACCACACTGATCTGTGCAGACTGAGAACTGGGCCTGTGCTTTAGCTTGGGAGCTTCCCAGGCCTCGGTGAGCGGAGCTGCCCTGTCTGTAGGAGTCAGCTGCAGGGACTCACCCGGGTATCAGGGCAATGGGGGTCCTTGGTTCAGCTGCCATTGCCTACAGCACCGACCATGGGCAGCGTAGCACTTTACGTCTGCCTGGTTTTGCTCTGCACTCCTTGTTTTTTTATCAACACATGCACATGACACACCCCCACGCACTCGTGTGCACATGCAGTGTGTGCCTGTTTCATGAGGCTGTAGGAAAATGACTCAGTTGTGGTTTAAAAGTAGGTGGAAATCCAAGCATCCACACAAACATCTGTCAGGCAGGTGTGGGAGTTGCAGCCTTTTCATAAGTAAGTTATTACTCTCTCACTTTTTTGAACAGCTTAATAAAAAAAAAAAAAATTCCCATTCCACTGTGTGAGATGATGTTCAGAGCAGCACAGAGTTCTAATGGCTGATTTCAATAATAAAGACAACAGGGGACTAAAAGGTGCTGTGCTCGAAGCTGGGAAGCACATTCCTTTCCCCAGAGGGTGTACTTAGCTCTGTGCCTTTGATCTCTTGAGAAGTATCATTAGAGCACAAAATGGCAGGCACTAGGGAACATTATGGCAATTATAATGTGAGAGTTTAAAAAAAAATCAAAATAAGTTTGAACTTATTTAGGAGTTTACTCCCATGAAGCTCTGATCACAGCTGAAGGATAAAATGCTCTAATAGATAAAATATAGATGCCCCAGTGGGACTGTTCTTTGGATATTGACTCCCAACTTAGCTCTGGTACAGAACAGGTTATATTTACAGGTTCAAGAAATCTAATCTGTGTGCACACTTCACCATTACTTGCTATTTGTACTTCAGTAGCACCTGCAAGCCCTTGTTACTCAACACGATCCCATTGTTCTAAGGACTGTAGATATACAGAAGAAAAAAACCACAGGCCATGGGACACAAAAGGCTCAGAGAGCCTTTGGACCATGAGGCTGCAACACAGTAGCTAGCACTTGGAAAATCGAAGTATTTGTCTTAATACCTTGCAAATAACTGTACAAATATTGCTCTATCTTATTATCACATACTGTTATGGAGTGGGTTTGTGTTCTGATTTCTTAGTTCTAGAAAACAGAGGAATTCAAGAAACAGTGCTTATTCTGAAGGGTTTTTAGTAGTGCCTTGGCAACACAAAACCAGAGTTTGCTTCACTGTGACCTTGAAGAAACCATGTTTTCAGACAGAGGAGCTGCTCTAAGTTGGGGCAGCAGGCCACAGGAGGTAATATTTTTATACATTCCTGCAGTGTACCAGGACTTAAGCTGACAGAAAAGGCCATACCCACTTTCTCCTTCCTGTGGTGCAACATGCCTGTTCTAGCAGCCAGGGGTCTGTGTGTTTGTAGGTATGAATAGGAACAGGAACTAGGGATTTTCACACAACTTCAAGCTTTCCCTTCAGTGTTCTGAAAACATTGTATGTTGTTAAGTAAAAAGTCTAGGTCACTAATAGAGCAAAATGCAAGACTAATATAAAACAAGACAACTGCAGACTCAGAGGGCCCTTGTGCTTTACCTGTAAAATGTCTAGAGAAACCTGGCACAAGCACCAAACTAATGCAGCACTCTTGTGTCACCTGCATTCTCCTTGTCTGTACTGCACAAAATCCAATAATAAGCACAGCTTTTAAATATGCCTTTTACTGCCTCGGCACAAGCTGCATCGATTGTGCTCACATGCAACATCCTTAACATAAAAAACAGTAGAGTTAAAGTGAGAGAAATAACCCAATTTACTCCTGCAGACGGTGAGTGGGGGGTGTTAAAGTTCCAATTGGGCACATATGGAACAAATCTTGTTGTAACATAGCAAAAGAAAGCATCTCAAAGAAACCATCTTATCATCATCATCAACCAAAACAGGCAGCCCACACAGCTTTGGCATCTCAATTTTCTGCTCATTTTCTTTTGTCTGTATCAGATCTGTTGCCTATTTTCAGTAGTTCATAGATGTCTCACTGTGATAGGAGCTTGGAGAGCAGCAAGCACAGCCCATTGTCAGAGTTAGAATTGTCTCTCCTTTTACTGGTCCTCTACCCTTCCCCTTTCTTTCTGCAGCCACTCAAATATTGTAGAGTTGGTGGCATCTACAGCTGCATAATGCTTATCTTCTGGCTTACTTACTTGACTGAGAAGACTTCCTGTAGGAAAAGCTGTT